ACCATGTCTACAGGCACCTCATGTGAAGTCTGGCATGAGATATTACGAACACGCCAGCCGTCATGTGCCCCAGAAGCTGGAGGCAATGTCTGGTCAATGTTTGCGAGCTGGTTTGCACTGTCTTTAAAAGCAAGGACAGGCTGTGAAATCTGTGCTGTGAAAGGAGTGCCTTTGCTTGCAGTGAGTAGAGATCAGCCCCTACAAATTCCAAGCATTGTATTTAAGTTAGGGTCGATTTTGGGACATTGATTTGTAGACCCAGTTTCATAAATATCTCCATAGTTCCATGGGTGGCCTGTAGAGCTTCTTCGAAGGAGCAGGCCCTGAGGAGACAGTTGTCTAAGTATAGGTAGATGATGATCCCAAGTATGTAGGTGGGACAGCATTACAGAGAGGACCTTGGAGAATACTCTGGGAGCCAATGAGAGGCCAAAGGGGAATACTCTGACCGGGTAATGGTCCTGACCCAGAGTAAATCGGAGGAATCATCTGTGGAACAGCAGGACTGATATGTGGAAATACGTGCCCTGGAGAGTGAGGGCTGAGAACCAATTTCCCATTCCAAAGATGGAACAGGGATGCTACTTATGCGATTACATTGAATTTTTGAGCCTTGATGTATTTGTTCAATGCTCTGAGGTCCAGTATGGGTCTCTCACCTCCCTTTTTCCTGGGGATCAGAAAATATTGAGTGTAAAACCCTTTGCCCCAGAGATGCAGTGGGATGGGTTCTATGACTCCTATCTCCTGTTGTAACAGTCTCTTTTGAGAAGGGTCCCTGAAGAGGGACAGGGAAGGGAAGTCGGGGGAAAGGAGGGAGGTAAAGTGGACCGAATACCCCGGGAGATAATTTCTGAAACCCATTTGCCGGATGTTGTGTGTTCCCCAGTTATGAGAGAACAAAGTAATGCAGCATTCAAAGGGATGCAAGGGGTTGGAAAGTGGCAGCTGTTGTTGAAGGGAGTGGTCTCTCGACCAAGGCATCAAAACAGATGTTTTGAGGTGGAAGATTACGATGCTGAGGATTGAGGGCCTGATGGTTTGCACCTCTGAAACTTGGAGCTTTTTCTCTGTGGTTTGTAATAGTGTGGTGGGAACTGAGGTGTACGCAGTTTGTGAGACGACTGATTAAGGGGAGGTATTCGACAGTTATCTGAACCTCCTTCAGGAAACTTGAACGATGAAACCACAAAAGCTCGTCACATCTCAACTATCGTTGATGCAGCTGATACAGCAGTCCATTCCATCTCAAGTGCTGTCTGGAGCACTGTTTTAGCCACCAACTATCCCTCGTTGATAATGGCTCAGAATTGTTCCCATTGTGACTCCACTAGATGATCAATAAAGGCATTGAATTTGGCATAATTCATATTGTTGTATTTTGCTGTTAGGGCTTGGTAGTTTGCAATTCTGAATTGCAAAGTAGCAGAAGAGTAGGCCTTCCTCCCAAATAAGTCAAAGCACTTTCAATCCCAATCATAGGGGGTGGATTTGGAATGATGTTAGCAGCCACAGAAATTCACTGTCAATAACAATGGAATTAGGCAGAGGGTGGGAGAAAAGAAATTCCGTATCCCAGGGGAGGGGAACATAGTACTTTTTATCAGTCTGTCGGTTTGGCCAATGCTGACATTTGCCATATGAGCTTAACTGGATCCAAAAGGGCCTTGTTGATAGGGAGGGCTATCCTCAAGGAGGAGGATGTATGTAAAATATCTTGCAGCTTATGATGAGTGTGTTGCCTCCTCTAGAAGTATTTGTATGGTATTTGCCACCCTCTTTGTAAGATCTTGGAAGAGCTTAAAATTGTCTGCCATAGATGATGAAGGGGGCATAATCATCTCTTCTGGAGGGGAGGAAGAGATGTAAGAATATGGTATAACATCTTCCTCTAGTCCCACTTCCTGCTCCTCCAGGATTTCCTCAGGAGGTTCTGAGGCTCTAGATGCAGTGGTTGTGGGAGAATGCCTCAGAGTCTTTCAGTGTGTGACACCAGACACCCAAGAAGGCATGATGCCTATAGGCCAACCATGGATCCCATTTGGCCGCCACTGGGGCAGTGGGAAAGGCATGGGAGGCTGAGCCCATGGCTGGTTATGGTAGCAAGAAGGAGCACAGTAGAGTGATGAAAGAGAACCTCCTCCTGGTCATTGTCCAAATCTCCACTGAAAAGTGGTGGAGCTCACATGGAAATTGGAGGTGCACAGCTCGGTGCCAGTGGTGAGCCCTAAGCCCGAGATTTGCTCAGTGCCAGGGCCCTGGTACCAAACAGAGGAGACTCTGTTGCCTCAGGTATCATAAGGTCCTTAGAAAACCTAAATTCCTGTGGTGCCGCAGTAATATCTACCGGTAGCGGTTGCTGGTGTTGAGTCAATGGTGCCAAAGGGACTGGAGACCTTGGCCGCAGCAAGCAGTCTGATGATGGCTGTCTCGCAGTTGCCTGAGCCGGGGCTTCTGTACTGGAGCCATCTGCCCAGAGGTGGTACAGTCTACGCCCCTGGCCCTGACCGGCAGTACCGCTGCTTTGGTGCCTGTGCCGATAGGGTTCTCAGGCTTACCAAGGGTGTCTATTGCACCCTATGCCACCCAATCTATGAGTACTGTGTTTACACGCCTTTGATACCAAGGAGACTGAATGTGCTGGGTGGCAGCTGGGCTCCCAGCGGGGAGCTGAGAGCCCGGGTTGCAGCCTGGCTCCCAGCAGGGAGCTCAGTGCTGAGTGAGAGCCTGGGCTCTCAGCTCCCCAAATTGCCCCATTAAGTTGATGCAAGCACTCCTAGTGAAGACACAGACAGAAGGAGGGTAGTGGGGACATGGAAAACCACAGTAATTACTACAGTGGCTGTTTGTCGACTTAAGTCTACTTAAATTTGTAGTGTAGACATGCCCTAAGAAAAGAATAAAAGCACTAAAAACCAGCTAACACCACATTTCTAAAGAAATAAAGTATCTGTAAATGGACTGCTAATCACTCCATCTTTAGTCAGGGGCGGTTGAAAAGGAACTGAGCGTGATTCTCCCCTCAAGGCAGAGCACGAGGACATGAGCATGCATGTGCGGGCCGAATGGACACTGATACAAAGATTTCCAATCAGAAGCGCAGGAACGCACATACACCTAAAGTGGAACTCCCATAGGGCCACTACTTGAAGAAGAATTATTACTACTTAATTCCTTCGCAGACAGACTTCTATATATGGGTCATATGATGGTATTTTAAATTTAAGAGTGTTATGATTATTTACAAGTTATACTGAAATGGAATTTTCAGCTTGAGTGCAGTGACTAAAGTTAATGCACAACTACAAAATGCTCTATTTTGCAATTCCCTACCCTCTGGACTGGGTCTGGTGTTTGATTTGCATAATCATTGTACAGTCATTTAACTATATACCAAACATGCAAATCTCTTTATTTTGACTACTGTAATCCCTCTCTGCTCTCCATTGGTTTCTGTAAACAGAATTTTCAACGTTTGCCAAGAACAATGATGGTGAACTCGGCTCCTCACTTGTGCTTGAAGAAAGATTAAAAAGTTTACACAAAAATAAACATTACCAGTCAAAGCAAATGGGCTAACAGCCAGATGAAACAAATTGTTAAAAAGCTAATCTTCTTTACTTATGTCCCTCCTCCCCTTCATCCTTATCTCCCTTCCTAAAAGCAGTGTGCCTTCAACTATGCATAAAGTGCACCACAAGGTAAGATTTTTTTAAAAATTTTTTGTTTAAAGTCAGTTTAGAAGGAGAAAAAGAAGAAATTGTGCAATTTTTCCTTCCAGTATGAAAAGTAGTTCAGAGTGGAAGGATGAGAGAAAAAGTAGAGGAAAAAGCACAACTCCTCTTTACTATGATTTTGGATTATATTTATAGTAGCAAAATAAATTTGAAGTTCCCTGGACTTTTTATCTGGGAATTCAAGCCTAGAGTACCATTACCTCATAAAAAGGTAAATTTTATATATAAAGTACACCTCTACACCGATATAACGCGACCCGATATAACATGGGTTCGCATACAACGCGGTAAAGCAGCGCTCTGGGGGGCGGGGCTGCGCACTCTGGCGGGTCAGCATGTCTGGCTCCGACACGCTGCTCTGAGCAGCGTGTTAAGGGTGGGAGGCGGGTGGGCAAGCGGGGTGGAGGCGGCACATGGGGAGGTAAGCAGCAGGCAGGAGTGGGGTGAGGAGGCAGGCGGGCGGAAAGACGGCAAGCAGGAGATCGGCGGCTAGGCCGACGTGGGAAGGCACGCCGGACAGACGGTGAGGAGACTAGCGGGGAGGTGAGCAGCGGGCAGGTATCATAGAATCATAGAATATCAGGGTTGGAAGGGACCTCAGGAGGTCATCTAGTCCAACCCCCTGCTCAAAGCAGGACCAATTCCCAACTAAATCATCCCAGCCAGGGCTTTGTCAAGCCGGGCCTTAAAAACCTCCAAGGAAGGAGATTCCACCACCTCCCTAGGTAGGTGGGATGAGGAGGCGAGCAGGGACTGGGAGCGCTGGGCAGACGGTGAGGAGACTAGTGGGGAGGCTGATTTGTCCCGGGCCCCGCACCCCTCTAGGGACAGCTCCGACACGCTGCTCTGAGCGGCGTGTTAAGGGTGCCAGGCCGGGGCTGAGGGGTTGGATAAGGGGCAGAGGGTCTCGGGGGGCAATCAGGGGACAAGGAGTGGGGGGGCTGGATGGGTCTGGGGTTCTGAGGTGTCAGTCAGGGGGTGGGAAGCAGGTGGAGGTCGGATGGGGGCGGGGCCAGGCTGTTTGGGGAGGCACAGCCTTCCCTACCCGATATAACACAGTTTCACCTATAACGCGGTAAGATTTTCTGGCTCCCGACGACCGTGTTATATCGGGGTAGAGGTATATAACATATATCCATACATCCCAAATGCCTTTAAATTCTTCTTCTCCATACAGTGCGCATTGCCCCTTCTAAGTTACTGAAACTGTTGAGCAATTATACTGTCCAAATAAATGGTTTCACTTAATTGCCGATAGTATACCTAATTTTTCCCTGTTCTGTCAAGTCTCCATCACTGTGCAATATTGTTGTTAGCAATCTCAGAGTAGAAGTTCCAGATTTACTGTGGTTATTCTTCATTCCTAGCAACCATCGAACCATCATCTTAATGGCCTGAATCTGAAAGAAATGTTCACAAGTACTATGTTAATTACGCTCTGCAAACAAAATTTTGAAATAATCTCTGTAGTAGCCTGATCACTTAGCAATATAATCTTCTCAAATGCTTTAATTAGATAGAGAACATATTCCTCACAAGCATGTGAAACATGCATTCATCATCATTGCAACATGCATAGTTTCTAAATTTTCTGAAATGTAAATAAACCTTACTAGTTTTTACGAAATAAAGCAATTTTTCATTGCAGGTACAATAAAAAAATTATACAACATTTACTACTGTAAGTTAACATCTGCTACAGAACATGGCTAATCAAGCCTTTCACCACAAACATTCACATCCGCTGTCATGTGACACCACATAATATTTAATTTGAATTACATGATAAATGTATTACTATTAAACGCTGGAACTCACAAGACAGCCAATATAAATAATCCAATCACCATTTATTTTGTTTTTATGCCTATGAAGAGCAAAATTAATATCTTATTTGTGCATAGAGATCTATGATGTTGAGCAGATTCCCCCACTGTTGTGCCTCTTGCTGCTCCTATGACTTTACTATAATTTTCCCTTTTCCTCCCTCACAATATATTTAGCCCTCTGTTAAGATCACCTTTTTTAATACCTACCTGTGGGATTTTGTCACTTGCCCCCTTTGAACCTAGTTTAAAGCCCTCATCCCTAGATTGGTGAGTCAGTGTGTGAAGATATTCTTCCCCTTCTTGGTCAGATGGACCCCATCTCTTCCCAGCAGTCCTCCTGTTCAGAACAGCATCCCATGGTCAAGGAAGCCAAAGCCCTTCTGTAGACAAGATCTGTGCAGTCATGCATTTATCTCCAGGATGCACGTGTCCCTGCCTTGGCCCTTACCCTCAACTGGGAGGATGGACTGGACTGCCAACTTTGCTCTAAACTCCTTTACCCTCACTCCCAGAGCCCTGTAGTCACCGCTGATCTGCTCAGGGTCATACATGGCAATATAATCAGCACCCATGTGGGTGAACAGCATGGAGAAGTGATCAGAGGAACAGATGAACCTCAGCAACCTCTCTAACATCTTCAATTAGGGCTCTAGGCAGACAGCACACCTCCTGGGATATCATGCTACTGTCTGAGATGGCAAGCAGCCAGCCTCCTCCCAACAGAGCAGCCAGTTCTTCTCCTTCCTCTGGTGTTCCTGTAGTCACCTATAGCTCGCTAGCATACTCCATCTTGGATGTCTCCATGTGGATCCTGTCAATGAAGTCCTTATGTTCTTGATATATCTGCAGATGAGACACCTCCTCCTGCAGCTCTCTTACATGCTTTCTAAGGGGCTACACCAGTGGTTCTCAAACTTTTGTACTGGTGACCCCTTTCACACAGAAAGCCTCTGAGTGCGACCCCCCCTTATAAATTAAAAAAAATGTTTTTATATATTTAACACCATTATAAATGCTGGATGCAAAGCAGGGTTTGGGGTGGAAGCTGACAGCTCATGACCCCCCACATAATAACCTTGCGACCCCCTTAGGAGTCCCAACCTCCAGTTTGAGAACCCCTGGGCTACACCAACAGATATCTCTCACTGAAATAACTTTAAATAAAGGGAGTGGAGTCTCTCATCCTCACTACTATTGTGAGGTTTTGGGTAAAATACAGATAGGTGGGCTGTTTGGTTCAAGTGAAATTGGAAAGAACCTTGGGAATAAGCCTGGGATGTAATCGCAGGTAAATTGTCTCTGTGAGAGATCATATAAGGTGGGGGAACTATGAGGTCCCCAAGCTCACCCACTCTCCTGGCCAATGTACTAACAGTTGGGAAGGCTACCTTCACTGTTAAGTGTAAGAGGTAGCAGAAGACAAGGACTTGAATGGCAGGTTTATAAGTGCCAATAGTACAGAGTTCAGGTCCCACGCAGGCATAGGTTTTAATACCAGCAGGAATGTTCTGATAATGCCTTTTAGAAACTTTATTGTTGTGGGGTGGCTGAAAACTGAGAAGTTCTCCATTGGAAGATAAAATATATTAATAGCTGTTAAATATACCCGTAGTGCACTGACAGATAGGCCTGATGAGTTCAAGGAGAGTAGATACTACAGGATAAGAGGAATCCTTGACTCCTCCCGAATCCTGCTGACACCACAAAGAGAACCCCTTCCACTTGGCAGTATAGCACCTTCGTGTAGACGATTTCCTGCTATCGAGAAAGACTGGCCCTCCTCTGACCAAGACTCCTCTAGCTCTGTTGCCCATCCAAAAAGCAGGCCACCAGTTGGATGGATACAGGTTAGGGTGGCTGGTGCTGCCTCCGTTTTGCAACACTAAACCCAGAAATGACTGTAGGTAAATGCAAGGGTGAGGGGCCATCCAAAGGATCATCATAAACCAGAACTACCTCAGCCCCCATAGTGCTATTAAAATTACTGCTGCCTTGTCCTTCTTGATCTTCTGGAGGATGCAAAGGAGCAAGGAGGATAGGAGGGAAGGCATACATCAGTGGATCCGACCACTAAACTATGAAAACATCCCCTCTGGAATTACGTTCTGGGCATCCCAAGTGCAGTAGCCCAGGTATTTCCTGTTTTTTTGGGTTGCAGAGAGATCCCAATATGGAAATCTGCATTGCCAAAAAATGTGCTGCACTACAGAGTTGTATAAAAATGCTTACAATTTGGTGGTTGCATTAATATTGTTTAGCTCAAGGGTTCCCAAATTGCGGTACGTGTACCACTGGTGGTACATGAGCTCGCTGGAATGGTATTCTGTAACAGGGTAGTCTGCCCCCTTTAAGGGGTAGTGGGGCCTGGGGTAGTCAACTTTTAGTCTATGACATGACCCATTTAGGGAAACAGGTATTCAAGACAATAGAAGACTAGCTGGGGAATAAGAGCCAGGGTGTTAATGAAGTAGCTACCTCCTTAACATGATAAACCCCAGCTGCTAAGTGACTCCCAGTACAGGAGATAGGGCAGACAGCCTGGAGAGCAGAACTCCAGAGAAGTATCAAGTCAGGAGAATAGGATGGGAACAAGAACCAGAAGGGAGACAGGTGAGCTAGGGAAGCCAGTCTGAATCCCAGGCCTGCCTCAAGAAGGATGCATGTGGGGTCCCCGAACCGAGGTATAAAGTGTGAAACACCAAGGGATGTTTCGTGGAGCAAGACCGGAACCTGGATACTGGTGGACTGGGGAAGCCCGCTTGGATCATGGCAGGGCCCCATGAATGAGACCTGTGGAATCCCAAGAGGAAGGAGTTGCGAGTCCAAGCCTATTCTGACAAAATCCTTATTTTATTTAAACCAGACATTTTTAGTTTTAGAAAGATCACGGGGTGGATAAATCTGAAGGAAACATACAGAAAAGAATGACAATTATTAATGGCAGCTTTAGAAATACTAGGCATCTTTAGGTATACAGACATCATTAATTCACAATTATTATGACAGTAAATATACACCAAGAAAAAGTTTTAAGAGCTACTTACTTTGACAAGCGTTTCTGGAGAAACTTCCTCATCTGGAGCCCAAAGTTTAGTTGTCTTTTTCCCAGGAAGCTAAATCAAATTTTACATCTTGTTACGTTTAGTTTATTATTCTACTATTAATAGGATACGATACTATTAGTAAAGCCTACTATAATCTTATTTGTCTTTAAAAGCAAACAGAAGCAAACAGCAGCATTCATTGGTTAACTATTTTGTAATGTTAGTACATGTATTCACTATTGAAACAGCCAGTTTAATCATACTGAAAAAGATTTTTTTTTACTTACTTAATTTTTCTATTTCCTAAGAGAAAGCAATTGCTTTAAAGTATAAGCTAAACTGAAAGTTAAATTCTTGTGTTTACAGATCTGCTCATTATTTCAAAATTGGAATAAAGCCTTCTTAAAATGTCAAGCTGTTGGCCTAAGCACAATAGAGGAAATCCTGACCCAGCTTGAAATCAGCCACAAAAATCCCATTGACTAAAATGGAACTAGGATTTCACCAAGTGGGTTTAATATTTTTAAGAATTAGACAGTCACTTGCTATGATCCATGAAAGGAAAAATGATTCTACACTATCGGGGAGGGGAGAAAAAGCCCTCTTAGCCCTTTTTACTGCATAAATTTCCAGTCAAGTTAAAAAAATACATGCCAAAACACCAAAATATCTCGAGATGTATACAGACATGCTACTAATTTTTATAACTATCCTAATTTTCTATTTCCTGAATATCTTACCAAAGAAAAAAGTCAATTTCTCAAAAAAGGCACACAAATAGTTAAAAAAGTACTTACCCTGTCATTCATTAGCAAATCTTTAACAATAAAGGTGGCTACCAAGGATTTCAAAGGGGCAGCAAATTGGTCTGGGGCCAGCATGGCTATATGACCAATAGAAACCAATGGTGTAATGAGATGTTCAAGGTTGCTTGGATCAAGGCTCTTATGCAGTGGCTAAAAGATAAATATAGACAACAAATTCAGATCATACCAATCTAATCAGTTTAGCTATACTAGAATAGTACTTATTATTGAACACTAAATTCCATTCAATGAAAAGTTTCACTTGCTACTGAAACAATGTGTTTTCTCTCTCCCTCCCTCCCTCATTCACACACAACTCTCTCCTCCCCACCCCCAAAAGCCTTGCAGGAATTATGAATTCATTAGATTAACGGATATATTTTTCTGTGTTAAACTGATGTCAAAATTACTATTTCAGTAGTGGACTAAGTGATTCTTCTTTGAAAAGTGATTTAAGATCCTTTGAGATGAAAGGTACTAGAAATGTTAATTATAAAGGATGCTGAACGCATAAATTTCCATCAGTCCCATTTAATCCCATTTACCCTGAGCTTCCAATGAAAGCGAATGATATACACTGTTCCCTTTCCAAATACAAACTGAACCATCAAGGACTGCTTGCTGGAGCCAGTAATCACTACAAGGTAAGCATAGACCCTCTACCAGAATCTATTCAACCAGCAAGATTGGAGCCCTTTAATATTACCTCCACTGCACCAACAAGAACTATTTATTTGAGATTGAAGGGAGAAAGGAAAAAAGTTCATTTCCTAGTTTTATGTCTTGGGTACTAGGGAAGGACTGATAGTTGTAACTAATCTTGAAACACAAGTTATTCTAACACTCATTGTAACAAAATAATAAAAATACAGAGGCATAAATATGAATATGCAATATGAAGATTAAAAGAAAAATAATTAAAACCTTTTCTTCTTACCTCAAATATCTGTGCAAACTGTGTTTCTTTGCTGGAAAATATTGCATGGATGCAGTGAATGGCATACTTGGCCTGACGAGGGGGGCCTTTTTTAGCTTTGTGATGCAAGACTGGGAGCAAAGCACTAAAAATAAAAAGTGAATACCTTTTAAAAATTGTAAGTTTGCTACTTTACGTGCTTTCACAATACAGCTATACAAAAGAACTTATTTGTACAAATGACTGGGGAACTCCTTGGGAAATTCAGTTTTTTCCCTGTCCTTCATCTGGTTCTACAAATGTTACATATGAAAGAACATCTTTCCAGCATTACAAAAGTGATTAACTTAAGAAACAGGCTGTGGTAACTGAAGTACAGTAATATGGATTTAGTTTTCAGACATGCACACTATGTATCCATAGCCAGAGAATTTGAAAGTAGTAATGTCCATTGGTCTGCACATGCACCCTTGGATCACCTCACGGTTTTCTGAGGTGATAAAGGAGATGGGCGGACCAATCGCCTCTCCACTTCCTTCTCTACCACAAATCCAACAGATCCAAAGCAAACAGGAAGGAGAGTGGGAAGTGGAATACAAATAAGCACTATACATCTCAAAGAACCTCCAGTCACAGCCAAGTAACTTCCTCCTCTTTTTCGAGTGATGGTCCCTATTGTATACCACTGAGGGAGATTAACAAGCAGTACCTCAGTCAGAGGAGGGTGCAAGGATGAAGATGGAATGGTTAAGTGAAAGACAGGTATGCTGAAGGAAGAATCTGCCACTGCATCCTGCACCAAGGTGTAATGCGTAGCAAGGTTGTGTACTGAACTCCACAAGGCTGCTCTACATACGTCCCCAAGAGGTATGCCATTGAGGGAGGTCATGGTTGAAGCCTGGGCTCTCATGGAATGGATCCACACCCAAGAGTGTGGAGGAAGTCCTGATAACTGATAGCAGAGTATAATGCACCCTGAAATCCACTTGGAGATCCCGTGTGTGGAGATTGCCACAATAGCTGAAAGAGTTACAGGTCAGGCAAACAGTCTAGGAGATTTCCTGATCGGTCTTGTCCTCTGCAGGAAGAAGGCCAAGGCTCACCAGACAGAGGGAGTGGAGATGTAGTTCCTCTACTGAAGTGTGAGGGTTCAGAAAGAAAGCTAGTAAGAAAGTGAATGAGTTGATTAAGATGAAATTGAGAGATGACCTTTGGAAGAAATTTAAGATGCAAGCGCAGGGAGATTTTATCTTTATGGAAAGTGATAAAAGGAGGAGCCGTCATCAAGGTCCCAAGTTCACCGACCCTTCTCGCTGAAATGATAGAAACAAGGGGACTTTCATGAAAAGGAGGGATATAGAGCTTGCTGCCAGCAGTTTGAAGGGCAGTTTCATTAATGTGGATAGAACTAAGTTGAGGTCCCACTGGGGAGTGATGGGTTGAATGGCAGGAAGGTTCTACAGGGTATGTAAAGAGTGCCCTTCCACCAGGGGAGGGGAGGGAAGGAGTGGAAGGCGTCAATAGCTGCTAGGTGAACATTGAGAGAGTTGAAGGCAAGACCCGATGCCTTCAATGACATGAGGAAGTCCAGAAGGAGAGGAATCCTCACCTTTTCTGGGGAAAGTCCCTTCCGTTGGTCCCAGGAGTTGAAGCATTTCCACTTGGCCTGGTAGGTATGCCTAGTGGACTCTTTCCTGCTGCTGGAAAGGATGTTTTGCACCTCTGATGAACACTCCCGTTTTAGAAATGATGCCCATAAAAAATGATGCCCATGCTTTGAGGTGAGGTGTTTGTAGACTGGGATGTCTGATCCTGCCATTGTGCTGCATCAGTAGATCAGGGAAAGAGGGGATGAGAATTAAGCGATGGGAGGACATACGGAGGAGGGTGGGAAACCAGAACTGTGTGGGCCAGCAGGGGTGATCAGGATGATTGTTGCTGTGTGTTGTCTGATCTTGTGGAGTACCCATGGCAGGAGTGGAAGAGGAGGGAAGGCGTAGTTGATCTGACCAGTGAAGTATGAGAGCATCATCCCGAGAGTCAGGACCAAGATCCCCCCGAAGCAGTATGTGCTCCATTTGTTGTTGATGCGGGAAGCAAAGCTGATCGGAGCGCCCCATTGGTTGAAGATGTTGTGCACTACAGTATAGTGTAGTTCCCACTTGTGCTCAATCACAAACCATCTGCCGAGCAAGTCTGCAATCATATTCTGAGTCCCCAGGAGATAGGCTGCACATAACAGGATCTGGTGGGCGATGCACCAATTTCAGAGGTTGACTGCCTCTATACACAGAGCAGCGACTTCATGCCTTGTTTGCTGATGTAGTAAACGGTGGTGCTGTTCAACATGATAAGAACATGATGGGAACGATGAACGGGAGAAATGCTTGGCATGCCCTCCTTACAGCCCAGAGTTCCAGAATGTTGATGTGTATCCTAGATTCCCAAGTATCAGGGGGTAGCCGTGTTAGTCTGTATCCACAAAAACAACAAGGAGTCCGGTGGCACCTTAAAGACTAACAGATTTATTTGGGCATAAGCTTCCGTGCATGCAGATGCATGGCCATGCATCTGAAGTGAGGTTTTTTTACCCACGAAAGCTTATGTCCAAATAAATCTGTTAGACTTTAAGGTGCCACTGGACTCCTTGTTGTTTTTCTAGATTCCCAAGGAATCCATGTTCCCTATGTCATGTGATATCGCACATGCGCTCCCATCCTACGAGGGACGTGTCAGTGATGATTGTCCTGTCCAGGGAGGAGGGAAGAAAGGGAATCCCTATGCAAATCTGCCATGGGTCCATCCACCAGTGGAGGGAAAAGAGTACTGGGGGTGGGGGAGACTGTCCAACACCGCTCCTTAATGTGTGACACCCCCAGGCACTTAAGGCAGCTACTGTGGTGGTCACTCGCAGGCATACACCTGCTGCAGTCAGAGCAGGGCTTGAACCCAGGAGACCAGGGCATGCCCTGCCTGGGGCAAAGTCCTGCTGAGACCCTAACTACTAACACTTAATTACTTAAGATCTACTTAAATACTTAAGACTAGTAAAGCGAACTATATACAATGGCCTTAAATCACAAAGTTCAGAATGGTAGACAACCACTAGCTCTTGCTAAGCAAGAAAGACTAGTAAAGCGACTGAGCACCACGGGCGATCAGAAGGAACTGTGAGGGCATAGGGCTGGTAGCACCTGACATACTGTGGCATGAGCACGGCACTCCAGAGGGTGCAACAGCCGGCCCTACGGGTACTGCTAAGGCTAAAATCTCCAACTGTCATGCACATGGACGCATGCACACCTAGAATGCAAATGACATGAGCAAGCACTCAAAGAAGAACTAGTGGACATTACTGCTTCCAAATTCTCCAATTCCGGACGCATGGTGCGCATGCATAAACACTCAGTGGAATACAACAGGGACCATCACTCGAAGAAACATTGCTTTTCACATATTACTTGTACTTCTACCTTTCATCAGTTAATGCATTTAAGATTATTTAAACCGCACTGCTATTCTTATTAAAAGCCTGAGTGCCCCAAACTTTTCTCTGGAGTAACATTTTCCTTCAAAAAAAAAATAATAATGAAGGATGTTTAATATGGCACTTCCATATGAATAAAATGTAACATTTCTAGAATTCCATTTAATAAAGAACTGTACTCAAATAGAACAGTATAATCTAACTCACGATCTGATGTGAGGAAAGTCCTCTTCAATTTTACTTCCTGTGTTTTTGAAAATTTGTAATGCAGCTTCTGCCACCTTTTCATCATCCATTTTCAGGCAAGCCAGAAGGGATTCAAATGTTTCAGCTGAATGAAATGAGATAGGGTGTGTAAATGACAGGACCTGCAAAAAGAAAGTGACAAGTCACATATTAACTTAAAAAACAAACAAACACCCACACAATTGTTTAAATGATCAAATGTTATCTGCCATATTTTGAACCCTTAGAATACACTGCAGTTTTTGGAAAAGCAATCCTATCTCTCACCTCTCTGTTGAAGACCTTCTTTCCCTCCACTTCTGCTCACCCATCTCCCTCTGCCCATGGTCTTAATAATGTTTATTTGCTTTCCCCATCCTCGGCCTCCTTTCACAATCCTTTGATTGTTTTTTTTCCCTTTGTCCAACAGTGAGGTCTCTGAAAACATTTATCCCTAAAACCCTTTACACTGCCAATGCCATCCTATTCCATCCTGCCTTGCCACCTCCTTCTCTCTTTCCTGGCTCTTTCCCTTTTATCTCAAAGAACAGACTATCTCCGACCGTAAAGAAACATTCTACTTGATCCTACTTCATCCTCTATCACCTCTTCTTCCCTTCATCGACTTGAGTAGGCTGTTGATTTTTTGGAGCTTCAACTTCCTTCCTTTCACACCTGATTATGTCCTCTCCACTTTGCTAAAACGGTCTTCATGAAAAATCACTAATGACATCTTTTTCAAAATTGTGTGCTTTTTCTCCATACTCCATAATTTCTTTGCTGCCTTTCACATTGCTGACTATCCCTCTCTTCCTTGGGCTTCTGTGGACTCTATGCTTTCCTAGCTCTCCTCCAGCCCTGCTCACTGCTTCATCAGCATTAATTTCAGTGGATTCTCTTCCTCCTCCCTCTCTTCTTTGTTGATATTCACACAGTTCAGTTCTGTCTTAGATCCATCTTTCTCCATTGTCTTCCTGAGCGACATCATGGCTCCTATGGTCTCTTACCACCTCTGATGACAAGTCAAATCTACCCTTTCATTCCCGACTTCTTCCAGCTTTGTCCACACTTGCACAGATCTTCAACTAGGGATGTTAAACACCTACACTCACCCTTCCATATCCCCAAATTCCCATATTGTTAAACCAGCTGGCCTCAAATCTCTGCATAATCTGGGCTGTATGTTCTGCAGACTTCAAAGTCTACAGAGTTCGCATCTTTAACTGTTGGAATCCAACTGTCAATTTGTGGTGACCCAGAAGACCTTCATAAACTTGAGGCTGTACTCTACAGCATTAATGTATTTGATGCCATAAACATAAAAACATAAGAATGGCCATACTGGGTCAGACCAAAGGTCCATCCAGCCCAGTATCCTGTCTGCTAACAGTGGCCAATACCAGGTGCCCCAGAGGGAGTGAACCTAACAAATCAAGTGATCTCTCTCCTGCCATCCATCTCCACCCTCTAACAGAGGCTAGGGACACCATTCCTTACCCATCCTGGCTAATAGCCATTAATGGACTTAACCTCCATCTACTTCTCTTTTAAACCCTGTTATAGTCCTAGCCTTCACAACCTCCTAGGACAAGGAGTTCCACAGGTTGACTGTGCGTTGTGTGAAGAAGAACTTCCAGGAAACGCTACAAAGACACACTGAAAGCAGGTCTTAATAAAACTGATGTGGACATCACAAGCTGGGAAGAGCAAGTGACCTGGCACCATATCCTCTATCAGGCAGTGACCTGCTTTGAGAAGCGCCTTGCCCTCGAAGCTGAAAAAAGAGAGAGGAGGAAGGAAAAAGAAAACTTCTTCCTAGCAGGCTGCTGGCCTGCCACAAAATCTCTGTAGCTACTGTGGGTGGATTTGTGGTTCCAGTATCAGACTCTGGAGTCATCTCAGGACCCATATGTAAATCCATGGTAGAGATCATCCTCAAATTGAAGGATCGCCAATCAATCCAAACAGTACCCAGATTGCAAAGTTATGCAGCAACACAAGACAATACATATGATAAAGGTGAAAATGGTTGCACTAATGTGTGTGTGTGTGTGTGTGTGTGTCTGTGTCTGTGTCTGTGTACACACAACGAACAGGACAAAGGAATAAGACCAAAAGAAGAACTAAGTAAAGCAGAGGTGAGGGATGGAAGTGCAGGCAAATGCACACTCCAATAGCTATAGCTTGGACCCAATCCTCCAGAAGAGAATACTTTCAATTTTAAAATAAAATTTAAGAATATATAGCATGGTATATAAATATACTCACTGCCTTGTTATTTACATCATGCATAAAAAAGGGACACAAAGTAATGTTTGAGAATAGTTGTGAAAAGATATTGAGCTTGCAATTATAGTTTCTATTGCTCTATCACACTGATTAAATGTGAAGAGTATGGAAAACATTTTCTGCTGGATAACTGCTGAAAAGCCTATAGTAGTTTAAGAAATTGAGAATTAATATATTTTAACAAAGTTACTTTAGAGAATTTTAACAAAGCTATCTTAATGTTCACTGAACAACAAGAGAATATTTACCTTAAGCAATTCAAGACCTGCTCTGATTGCCTGATCAGTAGGTACACCCTCATCTTCATCATCTGCTGTTCCATCTATAGACTTGTTTACTTGCTTGATAAGGGCACTGAGAAATGGAAAAACAGTATGTTGACTCAAATGTACAAATTACTGCAGATTTCAGCTAACATGTCCATTTTTAAAACATTAAGTTCAAATCTATTAGGAAGGCATTGTTAATCAGCCTCACACAAATATCTGATTGCTCTTCCCTAATATATAATTTGAGATGGCTCTAATGAAATATTTACGCTCACAAAAATGCCTTGTTTACAGTAATGAATAAATAAGCTGTAAATAAATTATTCTGTTTAAGGGGGACCAATGTGAAATAAGTGAATAGTTTAAGTGCTACTTGGAAATGAAGATAGAGTTAAAATATTATTTTTCCACTTGAGATTACTGGCTATCATGGTTTCTTAGAACTGATAAACTCAGAGGTTACTCATTATTTAGCCTAAAGCCAGAATTTTAGGAATTGAGTGGTGAAATAGAAAGAAAAAAGTATAGATTTTAAGTGTACATTAAAGATGACAGATATTGTAAAGTTGGAGGTAAAGCTTGATTGCTCTTCCTTGTATTACACTCAAAGGGAAGCTGTGATTGCCTGATTAAACATGTTTGGCAATACTCCTGAAAAATATCGTCCGTAATCCCTGGGTTCGCTCTGGCAGAAAGGAAGTTTAGCGTGACATTTTTTCAAAAAATTCAAACATTTTCCCAGGACAGAAATTCAGTTTCCTAACTGGGCCTAGTCAAAACACATTCAGACACATTACTTCTGGTCGCTCTTAAAAACATATTTGAATTGAAGATGGAGCTGGCAGCAACAGCTATAGTTAAGAAGCAACAGTTTCACATTGCTAAGATGTAGCCATGGTGGTGTGCAAAATGGACTTCCATCTTGAACGATCCCTTGCAAATACTTCTTCCTTCACCAAGAGTTAGTACGGAAGAGTTTAGGCGTAAACCCCTCATAATTGCATCTTCCAACATCATTTGTGGTTAGCTTCGTACTCTACTTCCTTCGATCTTAGCTCTAGAAACCTTCTGTAAAAGTGTACCTTCTTCTACGTGTTGTACATGACCGCACCACTGCAGTCATCTTTTTCTCAACTGGTTCAAGACTGCAACTTGTCGGGATCACCTAAGTATCTCCTTGTTTATGATTAAATCAAACCAATGGATGTTAATCATAGAATCATAGGACTGGAAGGGACCTCGAGATGTCATCTAGTCCAGTCCCCTGCACTCATGGCCGGACTAAGTATTATCTAGACCATCCCTGACAGGTGTTGTCTAACCTACTCATAAAAATCTCCAATGATGGAGATTCCACAACCTCCCTAGGCAATTTATTCTAGTGCTTAACCACCCTGAGAGGAAGTTTTTCCAGATGTCCAATTTAAACCTCCCTTGCTGTAATTTAAGCCCATTGCTTCTTGTCCTATCCTCAGAGGTTAAGAACAATTCTTCTCCCTCCTCCTTGTAACAACCTTTTATGTACTTGAAAATTGTTATGTCCCCTCTCCGTCTTCTTTTTTCCAGACTAAACAAATAAATTTTCAATCTCCCATCATAGATCGTGTTCTCTAACTTTTAATAATTTTTGTTGCTTTTCTCTGGACTTTCTCCAATTTGTCCACGTCTTTCCTGAAATGTGGCACCCAGAACTGGACACAATACTCCAGTTGAGGCCTAATCAGCACGGAGTAGAGCAGAAGAATTACTTCTCATTCCTTGCTTACAACAGTCCTGCTAATACATCCCAGAATGATGTTTTCTTTTTTTGCAACAGCGTTACAACTGTTGACTCATATTTAGCTGGTGATCCACTATGACCCCCAGATCCCTTTCCACTGTGCTCCTTTCTAGGCAGTCATTTCCCATTTTGTATGTGTGCAACTGATTGTTCCTTCTTAAGTGGAGTATTCTGCATTGGTCCCCATTGAATTTCATCCTATTTAATTCAGACCATTTCTCCAGTTTGTCCGGATCATTTTGAATTTTAATCCTATCCTCCAAAGGACTTGCAACCCCTCCCAGCTTGGTATCATCCACAAACTTTATAAGTGTACTCTCTATGCCATTACCTAAATCACTGATGAAGATATCAAACCGAACCGGACCAAGAACTGATCCCTGCGGGGCCCCACTCATTATGCCCTTTCAACACTTATGCCCTTTCAACATGTATGTGAACCACTGATGACTAGCCTCTGGGAACGGTTTTCCAACCAGTTATGCACCCACCTTACAGTAGCTCCATCTAGGTTGCATTTCCCTAGTTTGTTTATAAGAAGGTCATGCGAGACAGTATCAAAAGCTTTACTAAAGTCAAGATATACCAAGTCTACCGCTTCCCCAGATCCACGAGGCTTGCTACGCTGTGAAAGAAAGCTGTTAGGTTGGTTTGACATGATTTGTTCTTGAAAAATCCACGCTGACTGTTTGAAAACTGATTGCTTAATTATTTGCTCCATTATCTTTCCGGGTACAGAAGTTAAGCTGACTGGTTTGTAATTCCCTGGGTTGTCCTTATTTCCCTTTGCATAGATTGGCATTATATTTACCCTTTTCCAGTCTTCTGGAATCTCACCCGTCTTCCATGACTTTTCAAATATAATAATTAATAGCTCATATCTTTTCAGTCAGCTCCTTGAATATTCTAGGATGTATTTCATCAGGTCCCAGTGACTTGAAGACATCTAACTTGTCTAAGTAATTTTTAACTTGTTCTTCCCCTATTTTTGCCTCTGATCCTACCTCATTTTCACTGGCATTCACTATGTTAGATTTCCAATCACCACCAACCTTCTTGGTCAAAAACGAAACATGAAAGTCATTAAGCACCTCTACCATTTCCACATTTTCTGTTAGTTTTCCCCCCCTCCATTGAGTAATGGGCCTAATCTGTCCTTGGTCTTCCTCTTGCTTCTAATGTATTTGTAGATTGTATTTGTATTTGTGGATTCTTGTTACCCTTTATGTCTCTAGCTAGTTTGATCTCATTTTGTGCCTTGGCCTTTCTAATTTTGTCCCTACATACTTGTGTTGTTTATATTCATCCTTTGTCATTTGACCTGTGCCCTGCTGTGTTATTTTCCCAACAGATGTTGGAGTAGTTTAAGTCCCCTATCATGACCAAGTCCTGTGCTTTGGATGACTTTGTTAGTGGTTTAAAAAAAGCCTCCTCCACCTCTTTGTCCTGGTTAGGTAGCCTGTAGTAGATTCCTATCATGAGATCACCCTTGCTTTTTACCCGTTTTATCTTTACCCAGATACTTTAAAACAAATCTGTCTTCTATTTCCATCTCAACCTCAGTCCAACTATATACATTTTTAATATAGAAGGCAAAACCTCCCTTTTTCCCCTGCTTGTCCTTCCTGAGCAAGCTGTACCCTTTATACCAATATTCCAGTCATGCATATTATCCCACCAAGACAATATGTGATGCCAACTATATCGTAGTTGTGTTTATTTTCTAGCATTTTGAGTTCTTCCTGCTTATTCCCCATACTTATCACATTAGTATACAGACATCTAAGATACTGATTTGATTTCCCTTCCCCCCACCCCCAGTTCTGTCTTGTCTCTCCCTTATCCCTGCTGTAACAGACCATGCTTCCCCCAAATTCCGACCCTTATCTCAAGTCTCCATATATTTTACTTATCTATGGGCTTTGGTCACCTGACCCCTTCGAACCTAGTTTAAAACCCTCCTCAGGAGGTTAGCCAGTCTATATCCAAATATTCTCTTCCCCTTCCTCGATAGGTGGACCCCATCTCTGCTTAGCAGTCCTTCCTGGAACAGGATTCCGTTGACAAGGAAGCCGAAGCCCTCCTGGCGACACCATCCTTGCAGCCAGGCATTCACCTCTAGGATGCATCTGTCTCCACCTGAGCCCCAACCCTTGACTGGAAGGATCAAAGAGACTACCACCTGCGCTCCCAACTCCTTCACCCTTACTCCCAGAGCCCTGTAGTCACCGCTGATCTGCTGAGGATCATACCTTGCAGTATCATTAGTGCCTACACGGATGAGTAGCATGGGGTAGTAGTCAGAGGGCCCGATGATCCTCGACAATCCCTCCATAAATGTCTCGGATATGGGTCCCTGGCAGGCAGCATACCTCCCATGATGCAATATCAGGACTCCAGGTGGGTGCCTCCATCCCCCTCAGAAGAGAGTCACCAACCACCACTACCCGATGTTTCCTCCTGGGAGTGGTAGCTGCGATCCTCCCAGCCTTGGGGGTACGTGGCTTCTCCTGCTGCACCTTTGGGGGCGATTCCTCATCACTCATTGCCAGGGCAGCATAATGGTTTTCCATCACCATGGTGGGTGGGTTGAGAGTAGGGGTGGAGCACTGCCTGCTGCCAGAAGTATCCAGCAGCCAGTGTCCTCATTCTGACAAGAGCCATATCCTCCTGCCACGGTGGTGTGACAGCAGTTCTCTGTAGCTGGATAGCTTCCTCAGCCTTGGATGTCTCCATATGAATACTCTTGAGAAATTCCTCATGGGCATGGATGCTCCTCAGCCTAGCCACCTTCTCCTGTAGCTCTCCCACCTGCTTCCTGAGAGATTCCACCAGCAGGCACCTTTCACACTGGATGGTCCCCCAGTCTGGCTCTCTGTCAGTGGGAAATGCAGGCCACAGTCTCTGCAAGTCCACACCAGGATATGGGTAGAGGCATCCACGGTTAGGTTGTCCATGTGGATACAGGCACAGGTGGAGGAGACAGGAGCAGGGTTAGCACTTCCTAACCATAGCGATATTATGTCTCCCTCCCATAACTCCCTCTCAAACTTCCCAAACACCGTAACTTTTAACAAAGAAAACTGTTTAGTTTCCTCACCTCAGCTGTTTTTAACAGCCATGTTTCTGCTCCATATAACAGCTCTCATCACTACCATGTTGAATACCTATATTTTAGTTGTCACGCAGACATCCCACAACCCAAACAGAAGCCTTTGAAGACACTGAAAGAGGAGGTTACTTCCTGTAACTGGAGGTTCTTTGAGCTGTGTGGTCCCTATTTGGATTCCAGATGTGGGTGTGCA